TACAAGCTCTAGGGATAACCGCACCCTGCAGAGAATTGTGACGACAAACCCATTCAAAAATGTGGGGGAGATCCACAAAGAGTGGACTGCAGCTGGAGTCAGCGCTTCAAGAACCACCACGAGGAGACTCATGAAAGACATGGGATTCAGGTGTCGCATTCCGTGTGTCAAGCCACTCTTGAACAAGAAACAGCGCAAGAAGCGTCTCGCCTGGGCCAAGGACAAAAAGGACTGGACTGATGCTGAGTGGTCCAAAGTTATGTTTTCTGATGAAAGCAAGTTCTGCATTTCCTTTGGAAATCAAGGACCCAGAGTCTGGAGGAAGAGCGGAGAAGCACAGAATCCACGTTGCATGAGGTCCAGTGTAAAGTTTCCACCGTCAGTGATGGTGTGGGGTGCCATGTCATCTGCCGGTGTTGGCCCACTCTGTTTCCTGAGGTCCAGGGTCAATGCAGCCGTCTACCAGGAAGTTTTAGAGCACTTCATGCTTCCTGCTGCTGACCAACTTTATGGGGATGCAGACTTCACCTTTCAACAGGACTTGGCACCTGCACACAGTGCCAAAACCACCAGCACCTGGTTCAAGGACCATGGTATCCCTGTCCTTGATTGGCCAGCAAACTCGCCTGACCTTAACCCCATAGAAAATCTATGGGGTATTGTGAAGCGGAGGATGCAATACGCTAGACCCAACAATGCAGAGGAGCTGAAGACGACTATCAGAGCAACCTGGGCTCTCATAACACCTGAGCAGTGCCACAGACTGATCGAGTCCATGCCACGCCGCATTACTGCAGTTATTGAGGCAAAAGGAGCCCCGACTAAGTATTGAGTGCTATACATGCACATTCTTTTCATGTTCATTCTTTTCAGTTGGCCAACATTAGAGAAACAAACATTTTTTCATTGGCCTTTAGAATATTCTAATTTTCTGAGATACCAGATTTGATGTTTTCATTGGTTGTCACCTATAAATATCAAAATTAAACGTAATAAACATCGGAAATACATTGGTCTGTGTGCATTGCATGAATATAATGTACAAGTTTCACGTTTTGAATGGAATTACTGAAATATTTTCAACCTTTTGATGATATTCTAATTTACTGGCCAGCACCTGTATATGTAACCTTATGTCACATTCTGCGTCCCCCTCATGTGTCCCCTTGTGTTCTCCATCCCTCTCTAGGTTCCCCTCATGTGCCTCCTTGTGTTCCCCAGCCCCCTTCAGGTCACTCCCTGTAGTTTTCTATAGGTCTTTATTTATATTTTGGTTCTCCTGTGCCCTGAGTCTTTTAGGTTTATTTATGTAGTCTCATAGGTTATGGCTTATTCCCCTCCTCTGCTTAGTTTTCCCTTCCCATTTGGTTTACTGATTTCATCAGGCTCTCCTCTGGTTCTCTTTCCCCATGCACCTGCTACTTGTTTCCTAATCACCCAGCCCCTTTGTATAAAACCCTGTCTTGTCTTTCAGTGTGTGTTGGTCCATTGTTTTCGTCAGCGTTGTCTCATTCCCCCCTCTTGGTCTCCTGGTCTCTAGGTATTTATTTTTTTCTCTAGGTCTCTTGGTTATTGCTCTTTTGGATTTAATAAAAACTCTGAAAGTTGTGTCAAAATCTCACCGATGACAACGTTGGCACTAAAGTTCAGTGTTAGGTTAAAATATACATTTTGAATGGTTTGTTGTTGCTCAGATCTGCTGGAGAGCCTCTCGTCTACTGGCATCCAAAGTTTTAGCTCCATATCTGTAAAGTCGATTGAGTTATAAACATGTATGTTAAACTTAGTAGCTGTTGTTGAAGTCTTGAATGGGGTTGTCTCCAAAGTTTATCAACTGCAGGTGTTTATCAGATGATCCCATTCTGAGAGTTTTAATAAAATCTCTCCAGAGATTAATGTCACAGTTAGCTAAAACACCCAACCACGTGTTTGGCCTTAATTTTTTTTATTTTTTTTTGCCTTTCAATGAAGAGCTACAACAACATTGTGATGTTTCAAAAGAGAGAAAAATCAATTCTCTCCTTGTTCCACCTCCTTTAAGGAGAACATTTGTTAAAAACTCAAGAGTTTTAGTGGCACAGAGCTGGTGCCAAAGCTCAGTAGTACACATTACATCCCTCTAAGGACGCTCTCCCATGGTACGATTTAATGGCCAACTTGGCCATTACAGCTAACTCACAGATGTCTCAATAGCTCTAAACACACACACACACACACACACACACACACACACACACACACACACACACACACACACACACACACACACACACACACACACACACACACACACACACTCCAATTGAAATGTACTTTTCAGGGTGACAGTATTAATTTAGGCCTAGGACTGGCTCGCTGCCTGGTATTGGTGTGTGTCTGTTGGCATGGAAACAAATATGTTGCTCATGGTACAACGGGTGGATCCATGAGTTTTCATGGCTCTGGGCCAAAACCCCTGGCTGATATGTTTATTACACATCAACGAAGCCCAAGAAAAAGTCAGCGGCGAGGGAATATCTGAAATAGGTAAACCAATATTCCACCAACCTTCAATGGAGGCTTAACAGGGTTCTGATAAACCTCATCTACCATCTCTGGCTTTTTCTATTTTTCTTTTTGTAGCTTATTATTCTTTTCAGCCACACGCTGAATTCTCACTTATCGAGTTTCAGATAAAATTGAAAAATCTTCTAGATTTAAGAGCTGGAGTTAGGGGAACAGTTTACAGCAGATTTCATAGGTGATGGAGGGAACCAAAGTGGATTTTCTGCACTATGCTCCTGCACTCCGGGGGCTACCGAAAGAGCCCACCTTTGGCAACTACTGAGTCCAGATGGTAGGAATATGGAGCGTTGAGAGGGGAGGAACGGAGAATTAAAGGGGAAGAGAAAAAAAACAGGGAGGTAGCACAAGAAATAAAAGGATGAGCCCTAGTAAGAAAAAACAAATATGCCTTTGTCTCTTCCAGGAAGGACTGATTTATGACAGGTGATCATCCACTTCCCTACCCTCGGGCCACCGTGGACAAGAGGAGAATGATGAAGAGACAGAATGTTGAAAGAAAAATGAAGAGGTGAAAAGCTAAGATGGGAGAAAGACAGAAGCCGAATCAACGAGTAGAGCAATGTGAATAGCAAAGGATCAAAGTGACAAACGCTCTTCCTGTGACCCTGCAGCTCCCGTCTCTAATAGGAGGTCTGAGAGATTGAAATCTTGGCCAAAGTTCCTGAGGTAACTCAGTGTGGCCAAACTCATTTGGCCCTGTCATAACAACCAACTAAAGATGAACATTTTGTGTCCAACACTAAAATAAAGCTGCTATTTGCAGGTATACAGTAGATGTGTATTTGAACTGTCATTTGACACCATTAAGAAGAATTAAACAATGTTAAGGCGATAAACAATGCTTTGAGAATGGTTGTGTTTCAGAAACGATACAGACAAGGTTGGATTATAATATGGGCAAACTGGGCACAGGCCCAGGGGCCCACAGCCACAAGGGGGCCCACGCGAGCAGCAGTCTTTTATTTATTTTATTTTTTTGTGCAGCAGTCTTAACGTTGGAGAAAAAAGTTAAGTAATTAAACTTGCGCACGCATTTCCTAAGTTAACACACATTTCTTTTAACAAAGATAGTTTTTGCATCTTTACTGCCTGCTTCAGCTTCAGGAATCTGGACTTTGATGACGCTGTAAATGAATTTACTAAGAGAAAGGCCAGAAAGCAGTTTTTCTGAAGGCAAGAGAGGAGACCAACAAGGAGACAAAAAGAGGAGTAAGGAGACCGGAGACAAGAGGAGTAAGGAGGCAGGAGACAAGAGGAGGAAGGAGACAGGAGACAATAGACAAGAGGTGGAAGGAAACAGGAGGCAAGAGGACGAAGGAGACAGGAGACAAACAAAAAAACATGCAGATATTTCTTCTTTGCAAACTTTTCAATAACTGTATATAAGCACATTGTTCCCAGGGGCCCCTGCAATGATAATCCGGCCCTGGATACAGACTTTAAATTTGATCATGTTTCATGTCTGAAACTGCATCAGATAAAATGTGAAACCTCTCATTTTCTCCTCCTGAGATCAGGAGCTGAATCAGAACCAGAACTGTGTCTCGGCTGAAAATCTTTGACCTTTTGAGTATAAAACTAAATCACTTTATAATATGCAGTAAAACTATTTCACTATTAAATCATTTTTCAGATGAATGGTTTAATTATTTGAAACTTTCATTTCTTTATTTTTTTATTTATTGTTTGAATTTTAAAAATGCCCTTTTAAAGGTCACAACGAGCTTAAATATGAATTTGAACCAAAATCTCCCCGATCATCAAGACATTTAGAAAAAAAAACAGACTGATATAGTCCAATACCAAGTCAGACTATTATATTATATTATATTTTTCTAAATATTCCGAACTATCTCAATTTATTTAAAATTACATCTTTGCCTAGATAAAATGTTTTGGTTATTGTCATTTATTATAGTATTTTAGGGGCACAAACCTGCAGACTCTTTGTTAAATGTGGCAAAAATTCCAATTAAGTTTCAAAGCATGATTATGGAGTATTTTATCTAACTAAGCAGAGTAAAAGTGAAACTTCCTCAAAGATTTAAATAAATAATAGGCTGCTTAGTTCCTTCATTTGCTTCCCGCTCCAGATAAAAACATTTTTAACACCCCGCAGCTGGCGTCATAAAAAACTGACATAAAATAATAATCAACCACTGATTGGAAAACAATCATCATCAGGACATCTTTGCATCTTTCAAATGGACAAAGAGGACTCAGAAAAAGACACACTGTCCAACCAACCCTTGCTTCAAAAACATCCCAACAGAAATACAAACTGTCCGGTCTGAATGTGAAAATGTAGCAAAGGTGTTTTTAAAGGCTGTTATGGAGCAGTTACCCCAGATTGATTGGGATGGTTAATTTTGAGGTGTTAGAGGTTAGATCTGGATGAATGAAGTCAAAACTTTTGAACACGAGTAAGTCTTTACCTGTGACCTGGAAGGTGCATTTGCCGGCTCCGGCCTCATTGATGACGTTACAGGTGTACTCGCCCCAGCCTTCTCGATTCAGGCTGCGGATTGTGTACTCCGTCTCGTCCTTTAGGGGGTCAAACGCGCCGGCGTGGAGCAGCCGGTTTGAGAGCAGCCATTCGAACCTGAGCACGCGGGAAGGGTGGGCTCGCAGCACCCTGCAGGTCATCACCACAGGCCTCCCCAGGCCCTGACGGACCTCTGTGTGAACGGGCTCCACTGTTGGAGGGTCTAGGTGGGAAACAGAATCCAGATTACATTTTATTTTGACGGAAAAAAGGAAGTGATTCAAACAGTGAAAACTGAAGACGCTCCGTAGTTTGTAGACGGACCTTAAGAGTCAGAATAGATTCGTTTTTGAAGAGGGTAAAAGTTGCCATTGAAGCATTCGGTCTTTTCCCACATGCTGGAATAAAAAGTCCAATACTGAAATGTAAACGTGAGGAAAAATGTGAAATAAAGATTAAATATATGTTCAACCATCTGCTCAGGAAATCGATTCATTTCAGAAAGAGATGAGGAATGAAAACAGTTGCGGGAAGCGCAGCGATGTCTGCGGGAAAATCAATTTGCAGAAAAACTCCAACAATGTTCTGAATGAAAATCAGTCACACTTGATGGAAAATTGGTAACAGGATAATGAAGTGCACCTCGAGGTTTCAAAATGGAAAATTAATAACTTATTTTGCACGTGTGACAGCGTTCCCCACTTCCAAAGCTGACAACCTGCTGGGGAATTATCCAACTGGTTTTAGGATCTTCATGAAAAACATAGTTATGTTTGCTGTTTATATTCCAGCTCGTGTGTGTGTGTGTGTGTGTGTGTATGTGTGTGTACATGCTTGTCTCTGCAAGCTGTGAGACATTTTCTCATTTTGAGTATGTTTGCCCTTGATGTGCTCTTGTAGATGCTTGACAAAAGTCAAAACGGGACTCACACAACAAAAGCGAGTCCCTCAGTTGCTTAAGATTAGCATAATTTCCAACGGACTAAAAAAAAGAGTATAAATAGCTTCGGTCGAGGCAGAAAAGATGTTATTATTCTCCCCCAAAAATGTAATCTGTTACAGATCACTGATTATCTGATTGAAACTGTTATCTACAACATAATCTTCTACCTTATTCACACTCAGTGGTATAATCTATTTACTGGGCCGTCCAAACCTGATGGGATGCACAATTATAAGCAAATGACTGAAATTTACAGCAGATCATTTGGTAATATTTAATAATGTTTTAATCTGTAACCTAAATCAGATTCTTGAAAAGGATGCTCCAGGTTTTATTTAATGAATGTCTTATAAAGAGATGTTATGTTGGGTCATTCTGAAGTGTGTTTCTGTGTAAAACATCAAAGATCATTATAAAAATGGTTTAGCAGTTAGTAAAACTGCCAGAATGGCCTCAATATGGGACAGAAGTAGCTCAGGCGGTCGAGCGGAAGGTTGCTGGTTTGATCCCGACTCCCATCAGAGAATGCTGCTGTTGTGTCATTGGGCAAGACACTTAACCCGCCTTGCTAGTAGTGGTTGGAGGGACCGGTGGCCATGGACGTAATTTGGGGTGGGGGGCATCTCCCCTCACGTTTTCCAAAGTCAAGTTTTGACCCCTGCACTTTTTACCATCCAAAAACAATATTACGCTATATTAAATTGACACTGGTTGAGCTCTAGGACCAAGCAGGAAACAACAGTTTGTGTTGAAGCCGGTTTCCCATTACAGCATACTGTAAAGATGTTAAAAGTCAGACTGGTTTGTCTCTAGAGGAGGTTCGTTGTTTGTGAAGGGGAATCCATGCCCCGCTGTCATGAAATGTTTGCAACCAAAAAAGATTAAAAAAAGTTAGAGCTCTGCAACGTCATGGACTCTCTCTCTTCCTCTGGTGACAACAGCTAGTAACTGTAATGTTGAGAGCAGGAGGTTTGGACATAAGATGCAGAATCCCCAAAACGACTCGAGGCAGGAGTGGTTTAAGAAAATAATTCCTTTATTTTAAGGAGGATGGGCCAAAAAGTCCAAAAGCATGAAAACCAGACTTCATCTCAAAAACTCACTGAATGATCAAAAACAAAACAGAAGCTCACTCATGAGCACGAACTAGGAGAAACTCGAGAGAGGCAGAACAACTCTGACAATGGACCAACAAACACTGAGGGACAAGACAGGGATTTTAAACACAGAGGGAAGCAATCAGGGGAGCAGGTGACAGGTGTGAGGAGCGAGGTCTAGAGGGGTGACAGGTGCCATCAATAAACTAAATGGGGGAAAGAACCAAGCAGAGGGGAAGATAAACCATAACCTATAAAACACTAAGTAACTAAACCTAAAGACTAAGGGCAAAGATAAACAACTAAAGACTAGAGGGGTATGGAGGACTAATACAAACCAATAGGAACTACAAGGGGGTGACTAGGAGGAAACATGAGGGAAGCCTAGAGAGAGGTGGGGAACACAAGGAAACACATGGATAATATGGCAGACACAAACAGGAAGGGGATAATATGGCTACGTCTGTGTGTATTCGTCAAGAACCTGGCAAGGCAGAGGTTCTGTCTGAACCCAAAACTGTACAGCAATCATCGACTATATAAATATTTAGAGCTATAAGATAAGATAAGAAACATCAAATACATAATTTTGTTATATTCAACTGACTAAACTTCATTTTCTACCTGATCAATCAGACCATGCTGCTAAAGCAGACGAGCTGTTTTAGAAGCCCAGATGTCCATGATAGAAGTTATGGATTATCATTTTATAGCACTGACTCTTGGAAATACAACCGCATACCTGCTGAGTGTGTGGGACTAAAATCTCAAAACCAAGTAAACACGTTTTTACGAGGGTCCAGTACAGCTGAGGGTGTTTTGCTGATGACCTCAAAAAATGAGTGAGAAAACTTTTACTGCTGCCAAATGTACTTGGTTTTGTGATCGTTTGGACTAAAATACAAATTCCAAAATGAGCCCTTACATAAACTCTGTTTCTACTAATTTATGCCATAAAGAAACCTATTTCATTTAGTAAAAATATTATTAATGTACCGGTCTGTGGTGGTGAAGAGAGAGATGAGCCGGAAGGCAAAGCTCTAAATTTACTGTTCGATTTTACGTTCCAACCATCATCTATGGTCATGAGCTTTGGACAGTGACTGAAAGAATGAGATCACCGATACAAGCGGCCAAAATGAGTTTTCTCTGCAGAGTGGCTGGGCTCTCCCTTAGAGACAGGGTAAGAAGCTTCGTCATCCAGGACGGGTTCGGAGTAGACCTGCTGCTCCTCCACATCGAGAGGAGCCAGTTGAGGTGGCTCGGGCCTCTAGTCAGGATACCTTCTGGATGCTTGGTGAGGTTTTCTGGGCACGTCCAACTGGGAGGAGACCTAAAGGAAGGCCCAGGACATGCTGGAGGGACTCTCTTTCTCAGCTGGCCACAGGAACGCCCCCAGATAGGTGGCCCGAGTGGAGGGGGAGAGGGAAGGCCTCTCTGCTTAGGCTACTGCCCCCACAACCCAACCTCAGATAAGCGGAAGACAATGGATAGATATTATTATTAGCAATACAAAAAACTTTACTTCTTACCCCAAAACACATTACACAAGCTCTAAAAAAATACTTTTCTGTTTTGGAAATAATTAGCTGGCTTTATCTTAGGTGGAAATATCCCCAAGTCCAAACAGCTGCAGAGAGTTAGAAAAGCTGCTGATTTTACATTAAAGGTGTAGCAATCGATGTTTCTGAAGAACCGCCCTCTCAACGTTCTTTAAAATGCACAAGCGCACCTCTCCACCAGTCCGTGGAGTGTGCTCGTGCACACTCAGTTTCCAAGCAACTGCTGGCTCTGCATCACCTGTTGACTCTGGCAAATTCTTTTTTTCCCACAATGTCGGATTCTCCACCAGTAAGTTATATTCCATGTAGCATTACGAGCATCTTCATAGCTAACTATAGCATTACAAAAAAAGCTATCAATTAGCATGTAAGTTATATTGTTTTGCTGATTGGTTTTAGAGCTTTCTTGAGGAAAGTCTTGTTGGTTCCGATACGGACTACGAGCCCGTGTCCGGTCCATCCTGACCAAGATCCAGGATGAGGGGTACACCTAGAGACCGAGTGAGATGATCCAGGGCCGGAGGAGCCACAGCTTCAACAACCCGCGGCAGCCGAGAGCAGGAAGGAGGCGGCCGTGTCAGAGGTCGATGTCGAGTTCGAGGTCAAGCTACAACCCGTGGGGGTCTGCTCGCTGACCTTACACGGGATGACTTAGAAAGGGTCCAACAACTCTGGCAACAGTTGGTGGCAGTGGTAGAGGCAAGTGTGCATATCTAACTACAAACTTATCATAATTTTGTGCAAAATAACGCCTAAAGCAAAGCCTTTATTTTACATTTGCTCCATTACAAGTCCAATTATTTCATCTGTATGATTATCGCAATTTTAAATGTGTGAAATGTGTTATGTGGATTTATTCTAAAGTAGCAAGAAATGCACTGACATGCAGTGTAAAAGTCCGAAATGGAAGGTAACATCCTTGTCCTCGATGCTAATTATCTTTCATCTCACAACATTCTCCAGTGTCCTCAGAAGCCTCTGTGATTAATGACACACCATTAGGTCCGATGTGCAAAACAATCAATCTTAGCTGCAGGGGGGTCACGGATAAAGTAAACAAAACTCTTCCGACAGGTTTAGAAAAAGTCTCTCTTTCACCTGATGCTGCTCAGAAAGGCGGAGAGTGCAGTTGGGATTCCATGTCCAAACCTTCATCAGTTAATTTAGCCAATGGTGAATGGTCAGAATCTACTTACCCTGCTAATATTTAACAGCAGTGAATAACCGGGGCGGTAAATGGCACAAGATCAACCTGAAGTGTGTTCCATTCACAAAGAGAGACACACAAAGAGAAACAAGTCTCTTATAGAAGAAAAACATCCTTTAAACAAGGGCACATGCCTCGTTTCTCCATTACCCCCTCTCTCCTGCAAACAGCTGCCCAGTGAACATGAAGCCGAAGGGAGCAAAAAGGAGCGGAAAGGTCCCTTACCATATCGTTAGCGCAGCAGTGTTGCTTTAAGTCACACGCTTGGGGAAAAGCAAGACTGCTGACTGAAATAGAGTGCATCATCAGTCAGCGGTGCAGCTCGACACTAATGTGGAGAAAAGCAACATTCAGGGTGCAGAGGCAGTTTCTCTCCTGGTCTAAATGAACTGACTCTACAGAGGCACAAATAAA